ATATATATATATTTGTGGATTTCTTTATCCTGTTTTTCTTTGCCAAATATATAATGAAACTATTATCAACTTATATGATTAATAATATATATATATTTTTATTGATATTTATTGTTTTAGAGTTTTCGTTTTAATATATTAAATAATATTATTTTAAACATTTTTATCTTTATATATTTGCTCCCTTAAGTTATAATTCAATAAGTGGTTAGCATTTATTTAAGTCTGAAATATTTACTGGTTGTGATTTCTCAATGTCTATGCCATTGTGGATGTATGTTTGTGTATATATCGGTGTCTATGTGTATGTAGAGTGTATTCACATTTAACTGTGTGTGTGTATAAGTGTTAGTTTCCACGTCTCCTTTTTTTCGTAAAGGGCTGTGGAGTTGTTCATGTATTCCCCCACCTCTTCCTTTTTTTTTTTTTTTTTTTTTTTGTGTGTTTTTATTTGTGTGTGTGTGTTTGTGTGTGTGTGTGTGTGTGTGTGTGTGTGTGTGTGTGTGTGTGTGTATCTAATTATGTCTAGATGCGTATGTATTATAATCTGATTGTGATTTTGTTGTGTCACGCGTGAGTTTAAGACCATATTCACAAACTTTAAAATAAAAACGGAAAAGAAAAAAATATATACATATATTATCAGATGACCGGACGAATTGTAGCTTTTTGTCTTGTCAGACGTAATTTCAATGAAGAAATGAATTGAATAAACATATATATTTTTTTTTTTCTCAATAATTTTGTAGTTTTAAACTTAATAGTGATTAAATTTGGATTTAAAATTGCCAGTTTTTAATTTTAATATTAAATTTTATCATATAAATTTATAATTATTAGTTAGTAAAAATTATTTTTAATATTACACGTATTTAAAGATCTAAATAGCTATAATAGCAGGATTTTGTTGTCAAGCTTTTGAATCTTTCTGTACTTCGTTTTTGATTGGTTATTCTAGCTTTTGTAACAATGCTCCCCCCTAGTGTAGGATCGTTAATTAATCTGAAACTTTTAAAACCATTTATTTTCTTTTCAACACCATCACTTGATAAGACACAGAGTGTGTTGAAACAAAATGGCTATTTTTGTAGTGATTTTATAACATACTTATGTTATAAATTTTTTTTATAAAAATAATATATATATATATATATATATATATATATATATATATATATTATATATATATAATATATTCTATATATATTTTCTGTTCTATTCTCTCGTTTCTTTTTTTTTATTGTCTTTTTTCTTTCTTTTTCTTTCAATTATTTTCCGTCTTTTATCTTCCTATTTCGTTTCCCTTCACTTTTTTTATCTTTTGATATCTCTTTATATTTTACCCCTTTTTCATTCTCTTCTTTTGTTTTCTTGATACCCTTCTTTCTCTTATTTAGGCTTCCTATTTCTTTTTTTTTTTTTTTGCTTTTCATTTCCATTATCCTCTTTATTTCTCATTCTTTCCTTACTTTTTCCTCTCTTTCTTTCGTTTCTTCTTTCTATTCCGGTTTTTAATTCTTTTTTCATTTCTTTCCATTCCTGTTTCCTTTGTTTCTGTCTTTTTTTTTCTGCTCCTGTGTTCTCTTCATGTTCCTCTCTTTCTATTTTCTTCTTGCCTTTTATTATCTTTCTTTCTTTCCTTCTTTCTTTCTTTCGTTTCCTGTTTTTTTCTTTTCCTGATTTGTCTTCTGCATTTTTCTATCTATTTTTTCTTCTTGCTTTTTACTCTTTCTTTTTTTCGTTTCCTGTTTTTTCTTTCTTTCTGTCTTTTTTCTTTTCCTGATTTGTCTTCTGCATTTTTTTTATCTATTTTTTCTTCTTGCTTTTTACTCTTTCTTTTTTTCGTTTCCTGTTTTTTCTTTCTTTCTGTCTTTTTTCTTTTCCTGATTTGTCTTCTGCATTTTTTTTATCTATTTTTTCTTCTTGCTTTTTACTCTTTCTTTTTTTTTTTCCTGTTTTTTTTTTTCTTTCTGTCTTTTTTTTTTTCCTGATTTGTCTTCTGCATTTTTTTTATCTATTTTTTCTTCTTGCTTTTTTACTCTTTCTTTTTTTTTCGTTTCCTGTTTTTTCTTTCTTTCTGTCTTTTTTTTTTTTCCTGATTTGTCTTCTGCATTTTTTTTATCTATTTTTTTCTTCTTGCTTTTTACTCTTTCTTTTTTTCGTTTCCTGTGTTTTCTTTCTTTCTGTCTTTTTTCTTTTCCTGATTTGTCTTCTGCATTTTTTTTTATCTATTTTATCTTCTTGCTTTTTACTCTCTTTCTTTTTTTTTCGTTTCCTGTTTTTTCTTTCTTTCTGTCTTTTTTATTCCTGATTTCTCTTCTGCATTTTTTTTATCTATTTTTTCTTCTTGCTTTTTACTCTCTTTCTTTTTTTCGTTTCCTGTTTTTCTTTTCTTTCTGTCTTTTTTTCTTTTCCTGATTTGTCTTCTGCATTTTTTATCTATTTTTTTCTTCTTGCTTTTTACTTTTCTTTTTTTTCGTTTCCTGTTTTTTCTTTCTTTCTGTCTTTTTTCTTTTCCTGATTTGTCTTCTGCATTTTTTTTATCTATTTTTTCTTCTTGCTTTTTACTCTTTCTTTTTTTCGTTTCCTGTTTTTTCTTTCTTTCTGTCTTTTTTCTTTTCCTGATTTGTCTTCTGCATTTTTTTTATCTATTTTTTCTTCTTGCTTTTTACTCTTTCTTTTTTTTTTTCGTTTCCTTTTTTCTTTCTTTCTGTCTTTTTTTTTTTCCTGATTTGTCTTCTGTTTTTTTTTATCTTTTTTTTTATTCTTGCTTTTTACTCTCTTTCTTTTTTTTTCGTTTCCTGTTTTTTCTTTCTTTCTGTCTTTTTTATTCCTGATTTCTCTTCTGTTTTCTTTCTTTCTATTCTTTTTATTCTTGTCTTTTACTCTCTTTCTTTCTTACATTCTTTCTTTCGTTTCCTTATTTTCTTTTTTTTTCTGTCTTTTTTTCATATCTGTTTTCTCTTCTGTTTTGTTTGTTTCTTTTCTTTTTCTTTGTATTTTCCTTTCTTTCTTTCTTTGTTTTTTTCTTTCCTTTTCTTTCGTTTCCTATTTTTCATTATTTATTTCCGTTTTTTTCTAGTACTGTTGAATCTTCTGTTTTTCTCCAATTCTTTTTCTTCTTGTTTTTTACTTTCTTTCTATGTTACTTTCATTCGTTCTATTCCTGTTTTTTTCTTTGTTTCTGTCTCTTTCAATTCTTGTTTTCTCTTCTCTTTTCTTTCTTTCTATTCTTTACTTTTTTCTCTTTTTCTTTCTTTCTTCCTTCCCTGTTTTTCCTTGTTTCTGTCTTTTTCTACTCCTGTTTAATTTTCTGTTTTCTTTTTTCTATTATTTTTCTTGAATTTAAAATTTTCATTCTTTCTTTCTTTCTTTCTTTCGTTTCCTTTTTTCTTCATTTGTTTCTGTCTTTTTCTACTCCTGTTTTCTCTTCTGTTTACTTTCTTCTCTTTTTCTTCTTGCTTTTCTTCTCTTTCTTCCTCTCTTTCTTTCTTTCTTTCTTTCTTTCTTTCTTTTGTTATCTGTTGTTTCTTTGCTTCAGTCTTTTTTCTATTCCTGTTTTCTTTTCGGTTTTCTTTCTTTCTATTTTTTCTCCTTGATTTTTCCTCTCTTTCTTTCTTTCTTTCTTTCTTTCTTTCTTTCTTTCTTTCTTTCTTTCTACCTTTTTTTCAGTCCCTGTTTTCTCTTTTGTTTTCTTTCTTTCTATTTTTTTCTTCTTCCTCTCTTTCATTCTTTCTATGCATCTCTTGTTTTCTTTCTTATCTTTCCTTTCCCCCTCTCTCATTTACCCGTTTTCACCATCTAGCTTTTTCCTTACCGGTTTTTATTTTATTTTCTTCTTTGTCTTCGCTTAATATGTTTTCTCCATTTTTAATTAAATTATGAAATTTCTCCTTGTCCTAAAGCCTTTTTTCAGTTCCGAGTCACAAAATAATTAGTTCCGGATTTATTTTTTCATGCTGAGTACTACGATGAAGTAAAATAAAGAAAGCAGGCCACATCACCTCTCTTTGTAATCCTCCGCTGTTTTCAACCGCGCTTATAGTTCTTTTTTTTTTTTGTTCTCCCTGTTCTTAATGTTAACAGGGCAAAATGAAAATAAAGGAATTAAGAAAAAATCCTGTTGGCAAATTCATCAGGATTATATTATCTTGAGATCTTCATTTTCATTTTTTTTAAATATATTTTTTCTCGTTGCAATTTTGTCACTTTGTTTTGAATAAAGTTGTCGTGCATGATTTGTGTTTAAAATCGACTGCGTCGCAACAAAAGTTCGTAGCTTTTGTAAACGAATTTCAAAGGCAATATTTAGGTATTTTTATATAGACATATTCAACCACATATGTTCCACTTTGTTAGATCCTCACTGGGTGCCCTATACTTTTGGCCTTGTGCCACATCTAAGATATGCTTAGAAAATCGCCATATGTTCCAGTTTGATCCCCTAGTTATAGCAATCTTTGAGGCAGCTTTCTGAATCCATCCAATCGGTTTACAAGTCTTTGACGACATCTTCCGTTCTCTTAAGAGTTTGCTTAGTTTCTGAAAGGCATCTTTCACTAATCCTATTCGCCTTTTGTTTCACATTTTGTGCCGTTTATTACTACACAACTCAGTTAACTTTTTTTAGGGTAACCTTGATTGTGACGTCCCCACTGTGTAATTTACACCTTGGAATGTCTCTTTTGATGACAACCATGCTTTCTGACTTCTTTGTATTAAGGATTTATCTGTACTCTTTCTCTCTTTGACTATCTTGTCTAATAGATCTTTGTGTTTTCCCTTTCAAAGAACCTATCAGTACCATACCAGCCTAGCGTATGATGCCAAGGTTATTTTCGGCGATTTTAGATCCTAACACATTTCTCGTTTCTCTGACAATCACCTGTACAGGTTAAATAAACCCCTTGAGAAAAACACGCCATTTTCTGACTTGCCTTTCTGTTTCTGAGTATTTACTTCAATCATTTTCCCATTTTTACGCAAGCAAGGTTGGGGTTTCGGCCGTATCACGTTGCAACACTTGTTCCCGTAGGATCACCTGAGTTAACCAAGCGTCGAGCCTGGTCAGTACCTAGATGGGTGACCGCTTGAGAATACCAGGCGCTGTAAGCATGGTGTAATGGATAATGGCTCGGAATTGTTAATCGGAGAACCGAGTTCAAATTCCACTTGGGTTCATTGATTCACTTGTGCAAAATATCCTTTGGAAACGTATGAACCCTCCTCGTCTTCTCCCAGCTATGGGTTAATTAGTATTTTTTTTTTTTTTACTAAATCATTATTATCTCATCTCTCGTAAAACAATACTTATCATCTAAAAATATTTTCTGGCCATAAATACCCTGCAAAGGGTTTATGTGTTAGAAAATCAATTAATATATAGGAGGGTACAGATTATCTGAATATCGTTTTCCGCGTAAATCAAGCTTTCCGAACAGTTCAAGAAGAACCTCGCGTAGTATCCTATCAGGTATAATCTTTTCGCGTTTGTTTTGCCTGTTCTGATAATAAATATTCAGTTTAAATCACCTCAAAAAAAATTTTTTTTGTCTCATTTTTAGTCGCATATCAACTCCTTATGGGTCATTTAATGCCGAAATTTAATTTTCTTTGGAGCATTAGTAAATGTATTGCTGGTAATATTTTTTTTACAAAAATATATTGCTGGTAATTTTTTTACTAAAATAATTATTGCTGGTATTTTTATTTCATTTTTATTTTTATAGTGTTTTCATCCAAGCTTGTCCATAATTGAGAACAGGTGCTACCACCCTAGGTCAGGGTAGGCCTGGGGACATCAGCAATTAAGATGTGCTTCCACGCTCCTCGGAACCTACCGATTAGAGGGTTTTTTTTCTGTCGGGTGTAATTTATTGTCATACTGAGGACGCTAACCTCAAAAGTAACAAAGACTTCGTCATCAAATCCAGAGGATATTATCTTGAATTGATAAATAAAAGTGTTGCTTACGAAATTACTTCCTCCTCCCAGTTTCTTACTTAAAAAAAATAAGGTGTTGATTGTTCAGTTAAATGTTTTGAGGCAGCCCTATATGTTTCGCAATTATCGACGGATAGTAAAATCCGGTGGGCAACTATCTGTCACCGATAAAAAAAAAGTCCTGAAACAGAGCCAAAGAAAATGAAAATAAATCTTAAAAGTGTTGTTTTTCTTGAAGCCTTGTCCAAGAAGCTTAAGGCATCGAAATAAAAGCAATTTCAATTAAGACATGTCTTTAAATTAAAAAAAAAAAAAAAAAAAAACGCAGTGTAACATTAAAAACAAAAACACAACTATCCACTCAAATAAAAATGTTGAAAAGAAAATGCATTTGAAAAAAAAAAAAAAATCATCCAAGACTGATAGGAGACGATGAAGTTTGTTTATTGTCTTTTAGTTAGCGCCATCTTGCGGAAAGAAAAAAAAACGAGGGAGGGATAAAATTATTTCGCCATTGTCCAAATGGGTTGCTCACAAAAGACAGAGAGAAAAGATAGATAGAGAGAGAGAGAGAGAGAGAGAGAGAGAGAGAAGAAAGAGAATAAGACAACGATAAGTATATAAATGGTAAGTTTTATATACTCTAGGCGCGTTCGATTCGACATTTTTAAAATAAGCCCTTGATAAATCATTGTATCCCCATTTATCCGCCATTTGCATTGATCGATTCTATATTTAACTGATGGCCAGGGAATAATTGTTTTTTAAATGCGTAGTGTGGAAGTGTGAACAAAGAGCTAAACATCAACTGCATGAAAAGAGAATACTTAGAATCAGAACTAGTCGGAATTTCTGAGACAGATACTGAGAAAAGAAAGCTTGGGAAATCTAACACTCAAAGGATATATCGAAAAACAAAAGTGACAAGGATGAGCAGCGGCTCAACTTCCTGAAGAGCTTGTGTGAATGGATTGTGGAACAGGAAGTGGGAGTGATGGCAAAAATCATCACTATGAAATCATTTCTATGAAAGTTGTTGAGAACCATGATCGCCAATGTCCTGAACGGTCACGGTACACAGAAGAAGTTTATAAAATTAAAACCAGGAAACCGTTCTTATTCGTATAAAGCATAGGTCAATCAATATTATGAAAAATGTGTGTGAGGGAGTGTACGTTTATCTGACAGCAGGTCTGAAAAGAAGTCAAAAACACTCCTACCCGCTCCTTGTTGAAAGGACACATTGCTACACATAAAAGCTACGGTCCCGACACCAAAATAGAATAAAAATTGCATATCTATGTATGTATGTATGTACGGCCGTATGGATATGTATCTGCGCCTGCCTCGGATTGTTTATATGGCTGCGTTTGTGTGATCTAAAATCCGTACACCTCTATGAGTGTGTCTATGCGTATGAGAGTGTCACCCCGAAACAATCCCAGAATGAAAATTCCCCCCACCAACACACATAGTCAAGCAAGCATAAATCCAATTTTAAAAAAAACAAGTTTGTCTGATGATCATAAAAGCGTGAAACCCAGGGTGAAATTTATGAAGTTTTGACCCAGGTGAAAATTTATGAAATTTATGAAGTTTATGACCCAGGTGAAACCCAGGGTCATAAACTCATATCCATACAACTGAATATATATATATATATATATATATATATATATATATATATATATATATATATTTATATTATTCGGACTATTGTCCTCATCTTTGTCGTCATATTTATCACAACGTTTCGGCCGTTGTACGCTCCGGCTTTCTTCAGGTGGTGGGAATGTCGAACTGAATGTTCTAGTTCCATGTGCCATGTTTGATGTTAGAATAATGTAAATCATGTACATAATACCTCATCTCAGAAATATATATATATATATATAAGCGAACTTTGAAGTCAGCACTTAGAGGCGACAGTCTATTCATGCTAGACACAATTGTCAGGCCTGACGATTGCATTTAGCATGAAAAAGACTGTCGTCTGTAAGTGTTGACTTCAATGTTCACTTATATATTTACACACGCTCTTATCTCTGTTATTGAGCACTATATCCCACAAATATAGCACACCTTAAGACAATATTTCTCTCTCCCTCTCTCTCTCTCCCTCTCTCTCTCTCTCTATATATATATATATATATATATATATATATATGTATATACACTGACACCTTTAAACTCCCACTTGAAAATTGCGTCACTGGGGCTTCTTCTCTTCTTCTTCTTCAGCCGGCATGAACGCTTTCATTCTTTTTTAGAAACCCCAGGTGAAGCCTCAATCCTCTCCATCGGTCACACCAGCTTGCTCGGCTGCTATAGCACACAAGGACCACTATTTCTGGCTATACCAGCTTGACGTCTCTCGTCGCAAGGCGCGCTTATTCGTTTAAGCGAGTTCCCGAAAGAGCAAAGACCCTGATTGTCTAAAGAATGAGGCACCGCATAGTCTCTAACAACTTTGTCTCTGGCGGCTCTGTAATTGGGCATTAAATAAGTGTAAGGTCTCTACTCTTCCCCTCTTCAATCAATATCTTCGGTCGATAAAGCTGAATGCTTTGCCCGTAAATTTTCTTCAAACTCTACTCTTCACTCTTCCGGGATATTCCTGCCTAATATCCCTTCTAGAACTGAGTCGTATGCATATAACCTCTTTCAGGTTTTCTGCTTTCAACTCTAATCAAGATCGCCAGAAAGCATGTGAATTCGATGTTATCATTGTAATAGTTAAGATGTGTGCTTCCGAACAGGCTTCCATTCTTTCTAAACTGTATGCTACGCTGCCATCTGCTTTCTTGCCTGCTGAAAGTCGTCATCTGTTATATATATATATATATATATATATATATATATATAATATATATATAAAGAACAGTAAGATATATAATCCGGTGTTCTTATAGATAATTTTATTTTTACAAAATAGTGCTCAATGTAAATTTACAGAGCATTAATATTATTTTTGCCGTCATTGTCATAAATTTTACTTAAATAATATTTAAATACAAAAAAAAAATTGTAACCTAATATACATACTTATACTTGATGTAAAAAAAATAATTCTACATACTATAAGGGATACATTTAATTGTTCTTAAAAATATAGTATAATAAAATTAAAAATTAAAATATTTGAAATCGTAGTTAAATAAAACGTATTCTAACCTAAACACCCCAAAAATCTTTAAATTTACAAATAGAAAATATGCCGTAAGAATTTTTTGCGTTAACAATAAATTTAAAAAAAATCCAGACGACATGCATTCAACGGATGTCAGATTTCATTGAAAAAATACATCCCTACCCCCTACCAAAACGTAACTAATAACGGATACAATAATACAGACATAATGTCCAGTTAAAATAGATTTATCTGTAACCTTGGAAACATGAATTATGATTTTAGCTGTGTCTTTAAACCCAGTAATTTTAAAAGTTACTCCAAAATTCGCTTGAGGATGAAATGGAACTAATGTCTTTAATTTAATTACAAAATTAAATTCGTAGCTTTTAGCTTCCATTTTTGAAACATGGTTAGAACTGTGTAGCGAATAAAGCCATATTTTAAATAAATCAATTTATAATATATATATATATATATATATATATATATATATGGATTGATTAAATATCCTCAAAATTTAATTTTATTACAGGAAAGGTTTTCTTGTATACCTCCCCTCGTTTTGGGGGAGGCTTTTAGTTGACTGGGTTAATTCCACAACAAAGCTGGATACTTCTTTCTCGGCTGTCTTCTCCGGGCAGGGCGTCAAAATGTCTTTGAGTCCGGAGATGAAAAGACATCAACAAAATGGATTTTAAACTCATCTATTTTGTTAAACACGTCGACGTGTACATTTCTAACTAGCCAGTGGGGTCGCTCTATCACCTCCACTGGGCAGAAAGTTTCGAGACACGAAATAACCACGTCTACTGTGTATGAAAACTTCACACCCTGAAATTTTTTTCTATCTTTCTGACATTCCCACGCTAGTTTTAACCAATCAAAAACGACTTCCTTTGTTTTCCTGTGTCTGACCTCAAAGGTCAAAATGAGTAAGTCAGAGGAAAATACAAATTTAAAAAAAAAATAGTCACACAGATATCAAAAAGGAAGCTGAAAAGTCATGATCGGTTATGTCTTGAATGTATATGATATTC